GAATATTATGTATGATTATAACAAGGTGTTAAAATAAGAGTATGATCAAAGTATTTTAATGTAGTATAACTAAGGTGTTGAAATAGGAGATGATCAAAGTATTTTAATGTAGTATAAACAAGGTGTTAAAATAAGAGATGATCAAAGTATTTTAATGTAGTGTAAACAAGGTGTTGAAATAGGAGATGATCAAAGTATTTTAATGTAGTATAAACAAGGTGTTAAAATAAGAGATGATCAAAGTATTTTAATGTAGTATAAACAAGGTGTTGAAATAGGAGATGATCAAAGTATATTCCAAAAAATTCAAATATTCAAAGATAATGACTATTAAAATAGGAAAATACATAAGGTATTTCAAGCACCAAAAAGTTATTTCTAACCCAATGAAAATGTTCAACTGTTAATGCCACTTGGGTAAAGCAACGCATTATTTTAATATAGTAATAAATTGACAAACAACAATTTATAAGCATTATAAGGTGATTTATTTTGGGAGAACTTACTACGTGTTTCGACAGAATACTGGCCTGTCTTCTCCAGGTAACTGAAGAAGACAGACCAGTGTTTGGTCAAAACATGAAATATATTCCCCAAAACAATAAATCACTTTATTATGCTTATAAATCGTTGTTTGCCGACTTATAAACATTTCATGTTATCATCTTTTTGTGTTCTTAGTATAAGGGTGTGTCATAATAAATTCCTTAATAATCAGGTCTACCTATAGATGCCATATATGTATTGATAACGATGGTTGACGCTGTAAAAATGTGTAATGTTAAACTGGGGGGTTTGCTATGGCTCATCCTGCATATCAATACATTATAGTACAGGTCAAATACACGTGACCTTTATAAAGTAAAAAAAAAATTAATCAACACAGCCGTAATTTTCAATTTCATGCTTATAACAAAAGTTGGGTAAAAAATATCTGTATGCGTATAAATAAAAAGATCTGAAAGATGAATAGCTCAGGTGATTCGTTTTCTCGTGTTGTCAGTTATTCTATATGAGGTTTTCGGTATCATTGGTCATTTATCCTCACGTGCATTCAGACAGTCTATATATATACATATGAAAATATTCTCCAAACAAGCGATCAGCTTGCAGGATTTTAAAGTATGGACAGTCGCAATTTATTTCTAACAACGCCTGAAAAAAAAAATATTCTGACAGGATTTCTGAGGATGTAACATACTTTTGTGTATAAAACAAAAAATAAATTCAATTTTACAATGATAGAAACAAATGCTTCACTTTATTTAAGAAACCTTTCGCCACATACCGCCTTAAATGGCAATAAAAACTAAAGAAAATAACGTAGAAAATGTATACGGGCGCTTAATTGTTTAAAGCTATAGGAAATTTAAAGGTTGAGTTAAAGGTTCTATATTAAAAACTGATAATGAAAACTTACTTGGGGTCAGCTAAACATTGACAAGAATTAACCGTGCGACTGAGACTTCCATTATAGCTTAATAAGAAGCAGAGAAGGTAAATTACATTTTATTGGTTTCATTGAGCTTAAAACTAAAGTGGATTAAACTTGTATGCAACGCCAATCACTGTTTTTTTAAACAATTATACACGCTTTGTTTATTTCTATTTTATTTCTTATTCGAAATGTTTTTCCGTCCAATGGTTCAGCGGTGAGTCTTAGGACATATAACGCTAAAATTTGGGTTTCGATACCCGCGGTGGACCGTGTAGATTTATGTTTAACAACAAACAAACAAGAATCGAAATGTGTTTCTTCCCCATTCGATACCAGTTCAACAGGACAACATTGGTATGTACAACTATAGCATAGCTTACATTATGAAAATTGGTAACAACAAGGCAAATTTCGCATCTAACGTATAGCTGACTTGACTTGAATCTTATTAGATATTCTCGGCATACGCTGCTTTACTTCAGACACGATTTCAAGTTAGAGGGAACACAGTTTACTCTTTCATATCGGTT